CGTCGGCAATTCCGAGCTACCCTCCGTTCCCTTCGTCAAGTTTTCGAGAAGGGTCACCCCGTAATTTGAATATACGGCACCCTTCTGCGCGTTCGCAGCCCCTCCCGGCCAATTGCACGTTCGGCATATTTCGTTCACCGTGCATTGCGCGTTCGTTCTCCTCGTGTTTGGAATACGCGGACGAGATATTTCATCGCGGTATCATTATCGCGGTTTTGGCGTGCCAAATCATTTTTCCGGCAAGAGCGGAAAGCGTTAAAATTAAAGAATTTATCTTATCGAGAGAGAAACAACATATTCTATCTTATTTCTCATTAAACTTGACTGTTTGTTTACACGTTATACATTCGTGTGGGCTTTTACCATATACTATCGATATCGTCGCTAAAGTAATGTCAAATAATCTCACGAGCCGTAACCGTAAAGTTGACGAAGGCGCAATTGTTGATTCACGGACTCAGCGTTTCTACGTTTTTATGCGTTGCAATTACTTGCGAGCGGGACGCGTGGAAACGGAAGCGGTCGATCGCGTCTGAGGTATATCGGGACGTGAACGCGAAACCGCTCTCTGTAGACTAGTGTAGACGTCGATTGCAAAATTAACCAGTTTCGCGACCGGCGACGCTTAGCCGCCTTTGATCGTCGAACGTAATATTTTCGCTGTACCGCGCGTCAGCGACTTCCTTTGTGCGCGGAAACGGAGTTTCTCGATAGTTGGGCGGTTTAACTCGCTTAGAACTTAATTCGTCGAATTTCCGGTGAACGCGGTGGCCTCGTCATAGACTAGAGACCCTACAACAGAATCTAGCCATGAGCGATTTTGTCAAAATCCTACGAGAGAGAAAAGTATATTTATATACTTTCTCTCTAAGTATATATTATTTTATTCTAACTCTTATCCAGAAAAATATATACTCTACGCAAATAATAATTACTTGTTTCAAGTATTTCGAAAGTTTATGTATCTGCAAATCTATCATAAATTCATCAAAAGTTTCAAGTCAAAATATGTACAGTGAGTGCAAAAAGTATTCGTACAGAGAAAATATTTTTTTAAATAACTTTATTTTTAAAAAGTAAATATCCAGCGAGAAATAAGTCATCGAATTGATATCGAATCGATATACCATATATACGATGATTTCAACACCAATTTGATGTCGATTTGACGTTTAATTGACGATCATTTCTTGTTGGGTAATTAACAATTTATTCATAAAGAATAAAATAGACTGTATGTTTCTTAAAATTATATATACCAAAAAGATGTGTATTAATTATAGAAAATATATCATCTAAAAAATAAGCGAAAATTAAAAATTGTATTGTTTGGATGCTCAAAAAGTATTCGTACTGCAGTCGAGAAATTTGGCTTTTAAAATCAGGAATACATGCGAAGCTCGTTTGTTTATGTTTTAGAATAGAATATATTCATTGTATAAAATTGCTAATTAATATTTATTTTCTACAAATAAGACTTTTTTTATAACAAATTTCCTTGTATGGATACTTTTTGCTCTCACTGTATTCTGAATCGTAGGAAATTTAATACTTTAGTCAAGATAATTAAATTAAAATAAATTCGATTTGCTTATTATATTAAGTCGCTTCTTTAATCAATTATATATTCTTCAAAAGAAAATAAATTGTTCTGAATACATATTAATGAGTATTTCTAAAATTTTTAATAAGTACGATTGTTATCAAGAAAATATTCTTTGGTAAAGATAAATCGTTACTTAAAGAAAAAGAAAGTAAAGTGAGCGATCAATTTATTTTTCTTATCAATAGAATATTTTTCTGTGTGTACTTTTGTCTCACTTTATAATCTTAATTAAAATTATAAAGTGAGAGAATAAAAATTGAAGTGAAATAGTATCTATACTTACAAGAAAGAAATATATATATCTTCCTCTTACATTATAGGATTTTGACAAAATCATTCGTAGTCAGATTGTTATATAGTCTAGTCGTGACTAGAAACCCTATAACAGAAAATCGAATTTGTTTTAATTTAATAGTCTTGATGAAAGTATTAAACTTACTATAGGATATATTTTGAATAAATTTGAAACTTTTGATGAATTATAACAGAATTTGGCCACGAGATGACAAATTTTTGATTGCTTCGTCATTTTTGTCAACTTCAGTAAGTTAGAATAAGTAAAGTCAGAGCAGATAGAAAAACGCGTAAGGTAGTAAGACGTGAACAGTAAGCGAATTAACCAATAACAATAGAAAAGTAAGGCAATAACCTTATATTCTCTATTGTGATTGGCTGATTCTTTTACTGCTTACTGCCTTACATTCTTGTATGTGCCATGGGCTTAAGATAGTACAAGTTAGAATGAGATAACACAATTTTTCTATTAAATTCTTCATTATTAGAGGTTTTCGACAATGGTCATATAATATACAGGGTGTATCCGAAATAACTAATTATACAGTACTACTCCTAATAAAAAACTGAGTCGAAAAGTCCTCTACCATTTTGCAATTTTCGTTTTTCAACTCAGTTTTTTATTAGGAATAGTTTGAATAGTGCACGTTATTTCAGACACACCCTGTATATTTGTTTAAGTAAGCAGATAAAATAATAAAATTTCTGATTTTATTAATTTCCAAAAAGTTTTATCCATTGATATCCTCAGAATCTAAAAAGTCGCGATGTATTATAATATATAGAAAGAGACAGTATATGTATGTACCCTTCTTTCTCATTTTTGTTTAGACAAAGGGTACGTTTACACCGTGCGCTTAGTCCGCCGCGACCTATACGATAGGTGTCTTTGTTTAATATACAGGATAAACAAGGACATCTATTGTATAGGCCGAGGCCTAAATACACGGTGTAAACGTAGCCAAAACTACTCGTGGCCAGACTTTGTTATAGAATCTTTAGTCACGATGAAGCACGAAAGTAATTACTTCTCTGTCCCAACGATTTTCGTCGCGAAACGATTTTTTGTACAGCTCGCGCGCCGCGCCGGCGTGAATTCTCGACGCAGGGAAATTCGCGTGCGGTTCGTGAATTTTCGCGGGGCCGGCCCACGATAATCTGGGCTTATCGATCGGCGCTCAGTTGCCAACTTGGCAGTGGCAAACTCCCGGAATTACGAATGAAATGCTCTACATAGCGACGCGGTTGGCAAATCAGATCCGCTTTCATACCTTTGCAAGGGAGGATACATTGAATTCCGGCTCACCTTCCGGTGGGTCAGACTTTCGCAATTCGACAACGAGAATGTCCATGTCAAACGCGCTTAGTTTAACGCAGCGGGAATTGCATCCTTCAGCATGCTGTTCTAGATCTTTGATCGAGGGATAATGATTTTTTTTTTTAAATAATGTATCCACTGTGTACTGTACATTGTGCAGTATACAAAGGCTCGAAATGAGTGAACGAAATGATGTCCACGTCGGCCTTCCCTTCCATTTCGTTGATTGAAGCGTTTCGAAGGGGTACAAAACTTGCACGTCAAAGGGGTAAGGGAAAGGGGTACCGCGGGAAAGGGGCTGGACTTTTTTTCTCTAGCCGAGCATGTTGTTCGAGTTTCGGGTTAAATCCCGGACAGAGTGGTTTTCATGCCGCTACCTCGACGGTCGTCTAGCTCGTCGTGTGTGTAGTTAGTTGTATGGTATTGTAACCTACGCGCTTTCTAGCAGTCGGCGTTAGTTCCCTGCTCGCTCGCTCGTTCCCTCGTTCAGATTTGTACTTAAAAACTTGTGGGGTCAGTGGTGCTCACATCTAGACTCGCTAGATTGACGCAACCAATTAGGAACATGGTAGTAGAATAAAACCGGTGTAACTTTGACTTTGTGGTCGTACTGTAGAAGCAAATAAAGTGGTACTGCCTTGGCTTTGCGCTAGGAATTTTACATGAGATTTAGAGACTACACGACATCGAACGATATTTGACGAGTAACAATTTTTTGAATTAGTTACGCTTGCAAATTTGAATTATTGGAAGAAACATTTTTATTCAGAGAGATAGCAATGGATTCGCAAACTTGTGGTATATAATCCACAGCTTAAGACTATATTATATTCAATAGCGTCGATCAATACAATACTCATCGAGTATTTTGATTCAAAGAAGTTATAGCATCAGGCTATCTATAATACGGCAGACTTAGAGAGACACGCGATATATTTCCGAGACATCTTTTGCAGTTTCAGATAGCGCAGTTTCTCTCAATTAAACGATAGGTTTTGTAGAAAAGAAAAATGATAAGGGTCAATTATTAAAAACAATCAGAAATGTCGGTCTGCCTTTGTTTGTGCGAGCAAAGACAATAAAGTGGCGTTTAATACAGATTGTTTTGCATACCGTGCGATACAATTGAATTATAAATGTATTTATAAATATAAATGATTAACGTTCGGTTCTCATACACAGAAAAATATATATGGCGTGCAAGTAATAATTACTTGTTTCAAAAGTTTATAAATTCGCAAATCTATCGTAAGTTTATTACAAGTTAAAGATTATTAAATTAAAACAAATTCAATTTCTTATTATTAAAATGTCGTTTCTTCGACCAATTTTATAATATTCTTCAAAAGAAAATAAATTCTTGTTTCGAATACATATAATAATGATAATAATTTTTCTAAAACTTAAAATAAATATATTTTAAGATTATTATCAAGAAAATATTTTTTGTTAAAGATAACCGTTACTTAAAAATAAAAAAAAAAAGAAATTAAATTGAGTAATCACATTTTTCAGTAATAGAAAGATATTTTTACGTGTGTAGCGAGGCGATACGTTTCGACGTTGCGCGTCGGCTCGACGTTAAGTAGTTAAGCTCCAGGTCGGCGCGAATTGAGAATCGCTGACATCGCGCAGACAAGGTCTGCGTATTCGGGACGCGGTGGCGGCGGCGGCGGCTGCAGCGACTAAACTCCCATGCGCAGCGCGCAGGATCACGTGACGGTGCGTCGCGGTGGGCGCCGTCGACGCACGATTGGCCGATGTCGCGATATGTAACCCCCATTCGGCGTTACCCGAACAAAGAGACGAGGCTACCCCGTCCGTGGTCGTGAACGCTGCCATTAGAAAGTCGTCGGCAGTCGATGAACGCGGAACCTCCGCGAGTTTGGACAGAGAGAGCGAGAGCGAGAGGGAGAGAGATAAAGAGAGCTGGTCCATCGGTTCGGACGTCGCGATTAAGTTTTATCAGCCAGTCTGCCGGGACTCGACAACGGAAAGAGAGAAAGAGAGAGAGAGAGAGAGAGAGAGAGAGAGAGAGAGAGAGAGAGAGAGAGAGAGAGGGAAGGTTCGGAGAGACAAGAGACCCCGGCTTTAGAGATCAGCTCCAGCTCCGACCCACCGACGGTCGGAAATCGATCCGGTGAAACGAAGCGTGAAACGGAAAAGGCGCCTTTCATCCGCGAGCAGTAAGGAACTCGCGAGGACGAGTCGACGAAGCGAATTCGCAGGCAACGAGGCGAGCGTTAAGAAACGACGCGTGGACGCTCGCCCGACAAATCGATCCCCCACGTACATCTGTTACTGTGCGCCGGATTGCATCCTCATCGGTGAGGATCTTCGAGGGACGCTCCGGCGGTTAGCCCATCGCGCTGGAGGGTCGACGACGTACGACAAGCGCTGTAGAGTGCTACGCAGCGACGTGGCGACGACGCCATTTTGTGGTGACTGGTACTGTGCGCTTCTTTCGGCATCAACGCCGTCGAGCTTACTCATCGCCGCGCCGTGACCCGTGACACGCGCGTATCTCTGATCGCCTTCAATCGGTGTAAAACGGCCTGGAGCGCTTTTCGCTTCCGGAATCGTGGGTCGCGAGAGACAGCGAGAGAGAGAGAAAGAGAGAAAAAGAGATAAACAGTGCCCGTGTATCTGAGCAAGATCGAGTGCGTCATCGGCGTGACTTCCATCCGCGCACCGTCAATCCCACCGCGATAGAGAAGAGAGAGAGAGAGAGAGAGAGAGAGAGAGAGAGAGAGAGAGAGAGAGAGTGAGAATTTTCTATTGGATTATTGTCATCGACGCTTCGCCCTGGGTCACCACCGACCATGAGACTGGAAATCGTGTCGGCAGCAGATTTTCTGGTGCACCTGCTGCGCCTGCAGGCGGGTCAGCTGTCGGAACGACAACTGGAGATGTTCAAATCATCGTTGACGGAGGTGTTGCGTCACCGTTATCGGGATCACTGGTTCCCAGATCGGCCAAATCGCGGATCCGGCTATCGTTGCATACGCATCAACGGTAAAATGGATCCGGTGATCGCGCAGGCTGGTGCGAACGTCGGCCTCTTGCCGACGGTACTGCACAGCCTGTTTCCCAGCGAGCTCACCATGTGGATCGACCCGTCGGAAGTGTCGTACAGAATCGGCGAGAATGGTTCGATCTGCGTGCTGTACGAACGTACCGAGGCCGAGAACGCGGAAGAGATCTCCCAGCAGCAGCAGCAACAGCAACAACAGCACCATCAGCAGCAACAACATCAGCAGCAACAACATCAGCACCATCATTCGCAGCAGCATCAACAACCGCCAGCTATGCCGTCGCCATCGCAGCAACAACAACAGCAACAATTCGAAACCTGCAAAGACTCTCTGTTGCTGGAGCACACGCAATTCAGCGAGCAGATCGCCGCGTACGTCTCCAGCTGAATCGCCGGGCTCGCCGCCGCGCTCGTGTCTACGCTTCTGAAATGATCTACTAAGCGCACGTGCATCTCGTGATATGTGATATCCCGTGTGTCGCGTCGGACCGGGTAGGTCCGCGCGCTCAACCTTTTGTGAACTCCAAACGTGCGGGCGTCCCTCCTTTGCGTTTTATCTTCTTCTTCTCTCCATTCTTGTCCTTTTCCTTTTTATTTTTCCCTTCCTTTCTCGGTGCACCGAGAATCTCGAGCGAAGAGTCGATCCTCGCTGTCTCCTTTCTTCCTTCTCTCTCTCTCTCGCTCTCTCTCTCTCTCTTTCTCTCTCTCATACACACTCTCACTCTCTCTCGTCTTCTACGAAAAAGAACAGAAAAAAAAAATGTGAAAATGGAGCACCGTCGATGATCTGCAGCGTCGCATTTCGTCGCGCATCGTCTCAGCAGCTTCGAGCGACTTCCTGCAAGACGGGGAGAGTCCATCCTTCGGGAGACGCGAGCTCGTCCACGCGCGTCGGTCGGCTCGACTCTAGTCTAGTCTCGCGTTTCCCGACCCTTCTCTCGCGCGTACGAAGAATCTCTCGAGAGTGAATGAAAACAAGGCATCTTTGAGAAGAGAAAAACGTGTTCCCGAGCACCTAGTCTGTGCGCTATTCAAACGCGCTCGATCGGAAAGACAACATCGAGAAGAAAACAACTGTGCCGCGATGGAAGAGTGAAAAGAGAAACGGAAGTGGATCGAAGCGCAGACCAGTCGATTATCGTTGATTCAACGGCTACTCCCTTCAACCATCGTCTCATTTTCATCGATCGTCCTTTTACTATCGGCGAGTCTTTTTCGCTGGAGAAGGATTTCGCGGCCGTCGCAGCG